ATGATAACGAAAAAATAAATAAAAATGTAACACACAAATTAATTGATATTAAAAATATAAACATCAAAAAACGACGAAGAAACAATATAATATTATATATGTTGTCACATATTTCACAAAAAAACGTTGACACCGCAATGTGTTGAATTTTTTACTTGACTTCACTGCTAACCATAAAAGAAGACAATTTTGGTAATACGCTAGTATTTTTCAGATTATAAGCATCTGTAAAAAAACATGAAGCAGAAATATCAAATAAAAACGTGTTGCTCCGGACCATTCATTTCGACTAACATTTTAATACATATTAGGTGAAAATTATAAAACTCATTATTTTTATGTATTAACTATACTCAGATCTACAAGATAAGGGCAAATTGCGTTTATATTAGTTGAGAAATTTGCTTAGATATTGTCATGAAAAGAAAAGAAGTTTATTTTTGTGCAGTAATTATTTTCCTAAGCTATAGTAAAATAACTTAATAGTTATGATGTCACAGTATATATTTATTCGATCTAAAAAAAATTAAGTTTACCAGAAGGTTGCAAAAACGTTAAAAATGTTTTATCGAAATTAGTTAATTTATAGATTTATCCGAAGATTTCCACAAATTCAAATTAAACGATAACATTTAATTTATCAAAAAATATTAACTTTAGAGATTTGAAACATAAACTGAATACTTATATATAAATAGTTTATCCAATAAATTTAACTAATTAAATACAATTTCAGATGTAATGTTAGCTTTATATTTTTTTTTTCGTAAGTTTTACCCTGTTGATTACAATATTTTAATGTAGGTACTTTAAGTTTATTCATATCTAGTAGTATAAAGTATTTGTAGACATAGAGGCTATCTATATCGTACCTCACATAATCCCATTATCCAACATCTGATTTATTATTGTAACAATATAAGTAATATTGACTGTTATTGATTACAAGTCAGATCTTACAAGTCTAAAAAAAAAAATAATAAAACCCTAATTGGTTTAGTTGATTCACACTAAAGAAAAAAAAACCGTAACGCAATTAAAATCCCTAAATATACTTTCAAATACGAGTTACAAATCTTTAGTTTTAACCAATTTTGTTTACTTAAATATTTAACTACGTAATAACTCTTTAAATTATATTATTATAGTATATAACAGAAATTTTCAAAAAGTAACCTTATATCTCTTGAATATACTAGTTTAACAGTTTAAGTTTAAAAACAACATAATATGCTTTTTTATTTATACGAATACATGTATATTGAGAGTCAAAACTCCACTGATTTAACACTGATTTTTTATTTTTAGATAAAACTTTATATATATTTTGAATTTACCAAACTGGTTTTATGATTCACAAGTATTAGCCCTTATATAAAATATCTTAGCAAACATTAACAATATTTAAAAAATATAACTTTCCATGTACTACAGTGGATTTAAAAATTATAAAAAGATAATTGTGTCTATTTTTAATATACTAGTATGTATTCAAAGCCAAATTTACATTTAGCTTTTTTCATTTTAATAATCAACAAATTAATAATTAATATTTATTTATTAAACTGATATACTAGATAATTATTATAATTAAAACCTGGATTATTATGCAAATTCGTATTTTGCTTTACTGAAAACAAAGTAATTAAGGATTAAAATATTAGGTTTCATGACCTTATGTCTTCTATATGAACATTCATTTTTATTTTCATTTACATATTTAGTTTAAGTACAGTTTATCAACGGTATTCACATTAATAATAAGTTTTTACTAATAAATGCACCAACAAAAAAAAGTAAATATTTTTACAAATATTTTAGATAGCTGTAAATAAGTACTGGTTCTCCGTACACAACTATTTTTTATGTGTTTTTAATCAACACTCATTCAATACCTTCTTTATGATATTTATAATAAATTAAAATGTAGTTATTAATTTTTTCAATCGACCGGTTAACTGTTTTTCAAGCTAGTTTTCGATTAATACGAAAATTTAAAAAAAAAACTAAAAACTACCGATATTTTGTTTGAAAAACTTTTCTATACAATTTAATGATACATGCATGATAACATGACTGCATTGAAATGACTTGTACACATTATAATCGACGAAAATATGCGAAAATTATCTTTGAAGAAGTCAATATAAGAAAAATGTCAACGTTAAATTTTATTGAATTATTGTGAAAAAAAAATAATATTATAAACGTTAAGTAGGGGTTATAAATTTTATAGATGAATAAAAACACATGTGCTCATGTGAATGTAATAAAATAAAAAAAACATATGACTAATATGCGTGGATTAATAAATGTTGAAATGCATTAACACGTGACTTTGTTAATCACTTGAACAGCCTGGTACTAAAAGGGCCACGGATGCATTTCTTCATAAGAGCCCCCAAAAATGTCATCTCATAAAATGATAAAGTGCTTATAAATAGTGCAAAATACTATAATTTTTAATGGTGCCTTATTTCAAATACACAAACAATTATGTTGGCTACATTGTTAGCGTGATTAGATATAATATTACAATGTTACATAAGTAATACAAATAATACCTCATAATATACATCTCATTTAATAATATTTTTACAATGATATACGAATTGTACAATTGATTCATGTAATAATAGCAAGTTTTTTAGTTCACTAAAGGCCACCAGTAATTACAATGATTATTATTATAATTTATAAATCTTTAGACATGAGGGCCCCTCGATAAAAATTCGACCGGGAGCCCCGGATTTGTTCACAACCTAGCGGCCATGATCAGTCTGACATTGCACTTGAAAAATTTTAATTGGTGTGAAAATGTATATTATTTCATATTAAAAATATATTAATTTGTTGAGTTTAATCTAGTACTACTTTATGTTGTTGTTTATTATAATAATATTATCTATATTTTAGATATGAGTAAAAACCATGATTCTCCTACAAATTAAATATAGAACCAAGTTACAATGTAAGTACGTGAGTACACAAATTTACGTGTAAGATTGAATAAAATGATTCATGGATATACGTGAATAATATTATAAATTCACAGAAAATGTTCAGAAACTGGTCTAATTATATTATAATTGTATTCCTACGTCAAATAAGGAGCACTAAAGCTAAGTTTCATCTGAAATGGCAAAAAATATTAAATACTTGTATAGAAAAAACATTGTTTCCATAACACGAACTGACGATTATTAGCAACACGAGTAGAAAAAAAAAAATCGATAATTATTCAAATAAGTCAAACGCGTTTGTCATCGACACTGAATTGTTGGGTTTCTCTGTATAATGTGTAATAGATACATTAAGATGTTAAACATATAATTTAATTGCGAAATAAAACCCATCGGCAGGAGGTATTTGTTTATTTCTTCACCATGAATATCTTTTAGCCATGAAAATGAAATTCAGAATAACCGATCATTTTTTTTTTTTTTACTCAGATACATCAGATTCGTCTAAATGTCTACGCATTCACGGACACGCTCGGTGATCACATCCTACTGAAAAGCGTGTATAAACAGGGACGCCCAGATGGGAGGGGCAGTGGAGGCCATTCCCTTTTTGAGATTTTTCATGTCAGTTATAAAATAAAATTTTTTACTCAAATTTATTCAAAGCCGGTTATCAACTCATATCGATTACTCAGTGACTATTCGTCCACCCCCTGCACTAAATTTCTGCGGGTGTAATCCCTGAATCTTAAGTGTTTTCCGTTTACGCATCGGACGCGGTGTCGTCATTACATTTCAACAGACGGACCGTGGTCCGATATCATTAGGTACCCATACACGAGAGGATTTTCAACGGATTTCCTCTATGGCGAATAAAATCCTATAAAAAGTCTTACCGTTGTGGTATTCTGAGAATTCAATCCTTACAAATTGAAAATCCAGATTAAACGGATCAAGTTTTTCCCTTTTCCATTAATTAAAATGACCCGGTTCGGCAGATCTTGATAATAACTTTTTTTTTTTTATTCCTAACAATATTTCTTCTATTATTATTATTATTATTATTGATCAACTCTTGTATTAATGGCATATGACCAAACAAATACTTTATAACGATTCAGTTATTAATCCATTTACGCCTTATCCTTTTTTAGATGTATTTAAATCAGTATCTTTTATATTTTATTTTTTCTTAGTGTATAACCCTAATCTAATACAAGTACATATAATCTAAATATTTATAAATTCTAAGTAACTTTTCATTGATTATCTATTGTCATCTCTCAACCTGTAATACTATTTACATTATCTTAATTTACTTATTGTTATTTAAAATGTATTGCATATAAATACAAGCTGTGGCCTAAAGAAGGTATTAAAAAAAACATTGTAACCGACCATCAATCCTACAGCGGTTTTCAATGTCTATTGATTATATTGTCAATGTTGAAATGTACGGGTGTAAAATAACATTTATTCAATGAAAATTCATAACACAACAGTAATAACTGATAAATCAGCTGCAATCCGTCGTATAAATCTACAGATGTTTCAGAACGTCTTAAAAGACCGGAGGGCTTTACCGAAAAAATCAACGGGTTTCTTCCGCTAACCAGCGTACCAAGATGATACGAGTGCCGAGAGAAGTTTTATTTTTAAGCTGGTTGGCACGGATCCGTCGAGGACTTAAGGATTTCTAAACCCTTTGGCCCGCGTACGCGGGATTCCGGACGGGTCGCGTTTCGCGTACATCGTGCTCGGCCTAAATCGAAGCGTAACGGAGTCTGAGAACGAACGAAACGGTCACGGGCGGGTTACACACGCGGTCGGATAGAGGGTCGGAGCCCGAGATAAGAGAAGAAAAAATACCGGCGGTTGAATCCTCCGTCGCCGAACGACGACGGTCGCGGCCGGAACCTCTCGCGCCCACCACCTCCGTCCGACCGCCGAACGGGACGTGGTCCGCGGGACGTTGCGCGCGGTCCCGGGGCAAACCGGTTTCGTTCGGTCTTGTTCGGAGGTGTGCGCCGCGAACCTCGGCGACCGAAGTGCAGTTCTCGTCCGTCGGCAGCAAGTGTCGTACAAGCCGCGCGTGTGCATAGTCATCGTTAGGTATGCGCTTTACATACATTTTCTGCTATGCTCTGCTCGTCGTCGCACCGGCCTTGGCGGTGAAGTTCACTCCGCCGGACATACTGTGGCTGGACGAAAGTGAGTACCTAAACATCTGCCCTCGGGGAATGGGGGTTCGGTTCCGTTACCCCCTCGGTGACGCCGACTGACTCGCGCTCGGTGCCGCAGTGGTAGCCCCGGTGTCAACGCCCATGGCCGTGACCGTGGCCGGGACACTGAAACAGAGTCGAGGTCTACGAGAGAATATCATTAATTTATGTGTTGGGTCAAGAGAACGAGTAACGATCGGTACCCTTTCGACGACTGATGAGTATACTGTACACCTAGTGGAGTGACCTGAATGTTGCGTTTAACAGAAAATTTATTAAATTTTCTGTTGACGGGTTAAGCGATTGAGTGACTCGCCATACGCATAAACATAGGTTTCGGCGCCACTGATCGGTGTCAGCACATCTATTACGATTCAGCGTCAGATTTTTCAACAACATCTTGTGGGATCGGGATTCGGGTGTTGTGCACTCCGGGTTGATTGGAAAACAACGATAATGGTTTGGCGATTTGATAATTTGAAAAACTACGTGATATCGTTTTAGCGGGCGAATAAACGACAATCGTGTAGCGAAACAATCGAAATATAGTTTTTTTTTTTTTTTTATATATTAAAACCTAACATTTTATTTGTATTACTTGCATGACTTATTAAAAAATATTACAACGGAAAATTTATCCAAACGATTCACATGGGAAAAAATAACCAAATTCACACTATTTATTTACACAATGAATACTCATTGCATTCGTTTTTCGTATTATAACGAGAACGAAACTAATATATTTCGTTACAGTATTTGTATATATCCTTGAGTTATTTGGTCGGGAACTGCGATTGTTATCAGAATTTCATGAACCTACAAATATGGTGAAAACTTATTCAGAAAAGTTGTTGTACTTGATGCTATATTTTTTAATCACAAAACGCATGGAAGGGTATCTTATTCGTTATTTGACTCTGTTTTAATTTGAAACATGCATAAATTCATAGTTAATTTTAGATTCCTAGTGAAATTACGAATGTTTGACCACGTTGTGGTAATTTTTATTTTTATTTTTTGGCTAATTTCACGATTTCGACTAAAAAGATTGCTCGATCATCACCAAATGACGACGCCACGTCCACTGTACTTATAACACGATTTTCGATGCGATGTGAGCTTCGAGCGACGCCGTGAACGCGTATATGTTTTTGGTTTTCGCGAAATTTAGATCATTAAAAGTTCAACCTATGTTGTTGAGAAATTTGGTTCCACTACTCTATCAATTTAATTTATAACTTTTGTTCTTTAAGCGTTTAAGCTGATTCAACCAACGTCTTTCACTTAGATTTTTTTTTCTAGGCCAATGGTACATTAGTTTTAAGTTTAAAAGATCCATATTCATTCAACCACCTCTGTATCTCACCCAACCGTGGAGTCTCATATGATCTAGGAGTTTCGTCCTTCATTTTGTTTTTTTAATTTACATATAATTTTAATTATTTCTAATATTAATAATATACAATATATAAAAGGATGTGAGTGACATGAATAGAACACCTTATCAACGAAAGCATACTTAGTAAAATAAATAAACGCAGAGACGAAGGAACATGATTGGTCACATATATTGAGACACGAAAACGAACTAGTTTATAGAAAGGAAGATAGACCGAGGACTTAATTTGTCAAACAAATAATCTCCAATGCTTGACTGTCAAACTTCATGGAACTAAAGAGGTTAGCTGGTAACAGGGAAGAGTGGAGAGCACACGTTTAACAGCGAAACCAACCATAGGGTTGAATACAAAAAGAAAGAAAGATATATATACATACAACAGTTAATAATACTATTACATGCAAAATTAATAATCACGCATAGTTTTCGAAGCATGGGAATAGGAATATTTTATATGGGATTCACGTATAATCAGAATAAATTGTATTCATTTATTAATTAATTAATATCTTTGAGAACGAAAAAGTCCTCATATACTAACTATATTGTTAACTATTAAATTATAATGTTCGCCCTATGTCTATCCATAGATGGAGGAAATATTATAATTTGCAATAACATCATTATAACTATAGAAAATATATGAACCATATGTAATTTTAATTATAATTATACATCTGAGTTAACTGTAAAAATCTTAATTTCCCAATTTTAATTCATCATATAAATAATAGTTGTTATATGCATATGACAATGTAGAACGTTATTGAACAACTTTATTTTACGTTTCAAAACAGTTCATCATGTACCTCTTAGATTGTTCAATGTATTCTTTTTTTTTTTTTTTTTTTATAATAAAATATCGTTTATTGAATATTTACAATCTATACTATTATATGTACAATGAGTAAATTTGTTGGAGGAATGGCGGTGATGGGACGGTGAAAAGGGAAGCTCACAGTAGAGCTACCTTTACATGAATATTAAATTAATTTTGGGTGTTGAGAAGATCTCTGGATCATTTCCGATTAAGGCGTCGGGTAGGGTTACCTGGAAGTGTATTAGAGTGAAATTAGTTCAGTGTATTCATAATATTTTTTTATCGTTTTTGAATTATTGTAAAATTCGTATTAGATGTACAATCAATGGATTTTTTTTTTTTTTAATTTTATTCTAGACACGATGATTTTAATTTAATCCTGGTATCCAAGGTCATTAAATATTGTTCAATTGTCAAGTTCAAAGAAAAAATAAAAAAATAAACTGGAATAGTATTTGTATATAATGCTATATGTGCATCACGTCAATTAATATAATACATGATCCAGAATACTCGTTTTTTAACATTTTATTCTCTGATCAACCTTTTTGTTTAATTAATTCTAAGAGAAAAAAACTTACAGACCACATTGTAGAATTACCACTTCTCGTCTTATGCCACATGTAATAAACCGCACCATCATCGTAAAATTATTGTTTGAAATCCAGGTTCTCGAAAATCCAGGTTTCATCGAAGATTATTTTACGTATGATTTCCAATTAAAACTGGTATTCATACCTGTTCTCGTGGAAATTTCATGATAAAATATCGACAAAAATTTTTTTTCACCATATTGTTCTCAAAACAATTTTATTCAATCAACTCCATATAATCTTATACAGAAGTTCTTATGATATAATTCACGATGATCCATTGTGTTTGTAAATATAAAGAATTTACTACTCTTCTGTACAACTACTTAAGACTTTAATATATCATATTGTCGATATCGATGACAATGAAAATAATATTGATGCTTTTTAATTAACGGAAACAAAATTAGTTGATTATATGCTATTTATTTTTTACTTTTTCTTTTGTTCACGTGTGCACAAATCGTGATTATCTTGCCCGTCATCCCTGCCACCGAACGTCTTCCGGCCATGAGAGCGCCACTATGCGCGCAACGCCAACGTTTCTTTCTTTGTCTTAACCTTCCCATGATGAGGATTAATCAGAACTATAATGTATATTTATATGTATACTGTTATATACAGGGGGCTTATTCTCAAAAGTATTGAATCTGTTAGTCAAATAAAGTCGTTTGATTCATAATATTCGATTGTATCCTCAAATAATATCGAATCTTGAGGAATTGAATAAATTATTATCTGCAGTTTTTTTTAATTGTTCATTATTTTTTTTTTTTAAATTTCTTAATTTTTATCATATTTCATGTTTTCGTGAATTATTAATCACATTAATTGTAAAATATTAACATAAACAATGAAAATAAATACTAAAAAATATGTTTAATATAACAGTACAAACTAAAAAAGATTAGGTGCATCGTAATATATTTTTATCCATGATATAATTAATACTAAAAAAATTTACATTTAGCGATTGAGATCAATTTAATACAACATTTTTTTATTTGCAAATAAAATTGGTATCATCAAATAAAATTAAGTAATATGTAAATAAATAAATAAAAAAATAAATAAATAATTTTTATATAGAAATAAATAAATAAATAAATACTTAGCCTACGATGCATTATTGTTTATGTTTTCGGATATTGACCCTAGATCTAAAATCATAAAAAACTAAGCAAAAAAATTACAAGAAATTCGTCACCTTGAACGTTTGTATTATTTTATTATTTTACTGTCATTGGCATATGAAATTGACTTTAATTAAATGCACTTGGATTGATTTACTACCGTATTACCATCCGTAAAAACAAAAGAGCAGGAAATCAAATTATAATAGTTTTAAAACACGTTTAAAGTTCGCGGAAAATAATAATATATTATATAACGTAAACATTATGGTAAATTAACTATTTAAATGTACTTATATACACAGACACACACACACACACACGATTGATGTTTTATTTAAGTGTATTTATTATATATAAATAAATTGTATGGTTTTTCTTTTAGATGAAGTGTGCAAAAAAAGCATGTTTTCAGAGAAAACATATGTGTGTAAAATACTAAACGACTGCAAGACAGCTATTCAAGACATCAGAGATAATGTAAAGTATCCGACCATATGCAGTTTCAAAGGTAAAATGCCGGTCGTGTGCTGTGCTCCGGAGAGTGTGACTAGAGCGGAAAGATTGGAAAAAGAAAAGGAAACAGATCTCCCGAAAATCGAACCAGGAATAACGCGTGAGTATTTTCCGGTACATTTTACAGGAAGTTCGCAAATTCAACGGTACATTATTTTCAACTACCTATCATTATTCGGTGGTCAGTTTAAAACAATAAGTTTAGAAGTGATAGGAAAGTTTTTCTACTGAAAAATACATACCAACACCATTAGGATCATCGATCGCACCTTTGTACAGGAAATGCACACATTCATTTGCTGTTATACGTGAACCGTGCGCGTGAAGTAACTGTCCTTCGAATATTAACACACATTTTTATCACGAATATTTTGTCGTGAGACTTAAATGCAAGTATACCCAATTACCAAAATGTTAACGTGTAGGAATCCATACTTGTAGCGTTAAGAATCTTGGTTGCCATTTTATCGATAAAACCGGATTTAATGTAGTTAAGAAACGACGATAAAATATATTATTTCAACCTTCCTGCTTAAATATAATTTTTCGCCATTGATGTACAACAACGAACATTGTAAAATATGCGGTTTATTTTTTCAGTTCATTTCGAGATCGACAAAGACGGATTAGTTCAAGACAATCTCATTACCTATTCGCGACCTCGCCGTCAGATATCGTCACGAAACCCGTAAAAGAACGCGAACAACGAACACGGTGGAATCGAAACGCGCCGCTTTTAGTGTTGTGTTCCGGTTCGTGTGGCTCGTTACTCCCACAAAAGCCGACTCAAGACTGACTGGCATTGCTTCGAGAAATCGTGTCGCCGCTGATTGAACGATAAATCACGTTTACGCGGGGAAAGATGAACAATGTTGGTGGAGAGCGAATAAAAAATAATAATAATAATAATAATAAAAAATTTAAAATAAAAAAAAATAGGAAAAAAAAATGTACAAACTCGAAACGGTAAACGTGCCATCCGGACGACGCACGCGGACCCGGCGGACCGATCGCGTGAAGTTTACGGCGGCCGATCGAGCGCGCGGTTCAGCGGCGGGTGTGGTCGGACCTGTATCCGGTCCTGACGCGGAGGAACGGATACGAAGGAAGCCGCTGGCAGTCGTCAACGTGCACCAACGAACCGGACGCGCAAAATCTTTTACGCGGCGATCACTCCGTAAATTGTATAACGACCGTATTTTGCCGTTTCCGCGTCCGTGTCACGACCCGCGACCGTCCGGACCATCAGGGTCGCCGCCGGGCCCACGCGAACCTGTCCGACCCGTCGTCCCGCCGGCACCACCACCGTTGCAGTTCGTAATCGGTCCGAAACGTCGAACGGGAAACGATCAAGGGACGCGATTAGCACTAACTGCATCCGCACACGGTCGCGCCGTTTTCCATTTCTGTGTTCGTGTCTTCAACGCGTGACGTCCAACGTACGATTTCTAGTCATTTTTAGTATTCGAGTGTTTTGTCTCTCGAATCAAACAGATCAACAGTTGGTGTCATTATTCTTCAATGCAATCGTTACCGCAGCGCAACTATTACGTGTTTAAACTTTAGATCACAGACTACAAACATAAATGTATCTATTTCTATATGCCTTTTTTTTACATGCTGCAAGTATATGTTTTAGACTGGAGTGTCTATATTATAATGACACACTGTCAAGTGTTATGGACATTACGCTCGTTCGTTTTTTAATTTAATCGTAAAAACATTTAGCTAATAAATTGTTCAAAATTGTATAATCAACGCGTTTTTTTTTTTTTTTTTAAAGACACCTTGTCCGACATAATAATCAAACACGATACCTAATAATAATTTACAACTTCGGACTGCTGCAATGAACCGTGGTATTTTCAAATAGAAAATGTACTTAAGGTTTTACTCTACACGCGTATTAAATATGTATAATAAGGTTGAAAATAATTTGCGAATACTTTCACGCACTCGATGAAATGGAAAGAGAAACTTGCTCAAATTTCACACTGCGGAATTATAAGAAATAGTTTGTTATAACAGTGTTCGTACTCTTCGAGTAGTTCTAATATTTTTGAGTATAAAGATGAAGGATAAGCAACATATGCATACATTTTTTAATAGTTTTTTTTTTTTTTTAAATAGTATGAGAAAAATAAATGTTTACATAAAATAATTACCAACCATCTCATATAAAAAATTTAATTTTCTTTGCATATATTTTTTTTCTTTCGTATATCCACACTCTAATTCTTGTTTACCGCTTTTTGGGTGTAATCGTAAAATGTTTACCATATTTACATTTACAAGGTTAGCACTCGCAAACTAGTTATGATGTACGATGAATAATTTGTTTTTAAGCTAAATAACTGAAGATTCCTGTCAAAGTACTGAACTTAATAAAAAATATCAGCCACAAAAAATTCTATGGAATAAAAATAAAATATGAATAACTAGGGTTTATGTTTCGACTTTTCGCATTAAATTACTTATATAGTTGTTTAACAGTATCTGACTTAACAGAGTCCAGGGGCGTCATTTCAACTTTTTAAAGGGGGGGGGCAACTGATTAAATTGGCCGACTTCAAAATATTAAAAAAATTATGGTTACCTATATATTTAAATATTTAATATTTATGGAATATAGACTATAAAATAAAATAAAATATTTTTTCGGCACAAAACATGTAAGGATTAGTAATGAATAATAATGTCATGATGATATACAATTTACCTAATTAAATAATAACATTAAAGATAGTAAAACATTAATTTATTTACTTATCCCATAAGCTATAAGTTACCTATCAATAGGTTTAATGAAATAATAATATAAATATAATTAAATAAATAATTATAAATTTATTATTTGTATATTCAACACTATTTTGGTCGTATAGAGGACACAATATATTTTCTTCAACAAATTTTACATAGTCGATTAGTCATTCATCCAACTCTACAATTTATTTTGTGTTACCCATACATAGTTGGTAATATTGATCAATATTTTATATTGACAATAATATTGTTCGTTTGTTGGTCGTATTAAAGACCTGTTCAAATTATTAAAACAATCTAAACTATTTTAATATTTATTGATAAACAGTAAATATTATTGTATCTCTTGGGGCAGTTATCAATACTATGGACAATATTTCATTGGTATAGTTTCTAAATTATTTACGTTAATAAATGCGTACCTTTGAATAAATCAGTTAAATCGTATATTAAAACAACTTCTTCCGATAGAAATGAAGAACGTAACTTTATTTTAGAATGCATTGAATTTGATCGTGATCATCCTGCACGATGGGAATTAAAATTGGATAAATACACGGAGTAAAGAAAAATTACATATTTTATGTTTTAATGAAAACATATCAAGAACATTTTCGACGCCTAAATTGGACGATGTTATGAAAATATTTCATTTATTTCGGGAACGGTAAAACCACGACGATAGAACTGTTAAAAAAATCTCAGTGTGACGAGGCCTTTATTGAACATAACTATATTTTGTGATTTAAATTTTTTTGTTTCATATTTTTTGGCCGTGGCCTAGGGTGCGATGGCACTTTGCACCCCTGGCCAGTCCACCGCTGCGTGCCTCTAACGTTCTAAAAAATGTTATCCTTGTGTTTAGATATACTAGTAATTTGGTATAATATACAATTTTTTTTTTTCTTGAACAATGTATTTTCCATTGCTTACAGTGAATATCATATTTAATTCAATATTGAATATAATAATTAAATACATACCAATCGATCTGATGACGACGCGAAACTAGTTATACTATACAAGCCTCGAGGGTTAAAATTAAAATAATAGAAACATAATAACTCGAATATTTTAACATACGGTTTCAAAAGCTCATTATCATTATCCGATCCCGAATATACAATATAATATATAATATTGTATTTTCGCATGTATAACACAAATAGTCATATCGCACTAAAGTGTACCTATTTGTACGTAATACACGTGTGTCGTGTTGGTTAAACGCAGTCAATGATTATTGTTGTGGTGAACACCGCTCGGTGTCAACTATAGTTACGAGTACAATACGTGTTCTATTGATCTACCAATTTATCGATATCAAAACATCGAATGTCCGGGAACTACCACGGATTAAAACGAAAAATAATAAATCCAGTGACCTTGAGACTCATTAGGTTACTCTACCTTATCATTAGCATCGACGATGAATGAACGAATCCAGTAAAATTACTAGTAATTCCCAACACAACACTATAATTTGAAAAAAAAATTAGATTTATAATTCCTAAGTTAAATAGTTTATGATTACCTGGACAATATATAATTATCAACTTTAAACAAAGGTTTCAATGTAGGAACTGGTTGTACTCTAATCAGTTCAAGCAACCTCATAATCGAACACATTTAGACACGTGTAGACTTATATTTAAATCTATCGTAACGTTAGTCATTGGATTACCTACGGCTTAATAGGAAATTTAATATTAGATTATAATTGTATATATTGTATGCACTCGTGAATTTATATATAATTGATACGTCCTACATATAAACACAAAATAAATACATTTATAATAATGAAGTTCTTTATCTGAAAACTGATTACTAAAAAATGTATAAGACTTAACTTAGCCTCCCCCCTCCTGGAAAAATAATATGGAATAGTAACTTTTTTTTTTGGTGTTATTAATATTATTGGAATGAAACAAAGAAATTTGCAGTTAACTACCTAATAAAGTTTTACAGAAGAAAATTTTGCTCCATTCGGAATCTTAAATATTCTTCTTTATTTTAATATTTTTTATGGATTTAATTAGATAACATAATTATGAATCTAATATAGTGATCAATACATAATTATACGCTCAATCGTGCTCTTCTAAAATAACACTTAAATTAAACGATAAAATAAAATGTTAACTTTATAGAATTAAAAGGAAAGCTTCGAAGCTCCACAGCTAAGTACCAACCAGGGACGCTCGCAGAAATGTAGCTCAAGGGGGGCAAAAAAATTGTAAGTACCTAAATACTTATAGGAAGATTTACTGCTACATATTTCATCTACTCATATTTTGTAATACTATCATTAATAATTTTTTAAAAATCAAAACTCATTTAAGTTTATATAAAATTACACTATTAGTTTTAATATTTATAAGAATAAATATAATAAAGTTTAAACAAAAAACAACTTTATTTGATTGAATTCACATCATATTTTATTATTTTATTCAAAAAGTAATGACAATCTTCTTTTGTTTAAAACAAATAAATCAATTGAATCATTAATTTGTTGATTAAAAAAATGTTAGATACTTGTTAGATATAAGGATTGTCGAATAGTCACTGAATACCTAACCTAACCCAAGCTTTATATAAAAAAACTTCCAATTTTGTAAATGACACGAAAATCTCAGGGGTGGCAATGACCAACAATAATATGTGGTTTGATATATGTGTAACCACTATCAATAGACCTAATTGATTTTAAACTGTAGTTCACCAGAAATAGAGCTTAGATTATTATTACAAAACTCAATTATTATTTTTAAATAATTTTCATTTTCTAACGATAACTGACATGCGATGTCTTACGACATAAAAATTCTATTAGCGCACATTTTTTACATATCAGTTCATACGCTGCAAATAAAATTAAAGAAATATCCAAGTAAAGTCATTATATATAGTCATATATTTTAAAAATATAATATGATATTATGATTTTATTTTTTAATGATGAAAAATAAAATTTAATACGAGTAATGATATTTAATTCAATTTTTCAAGTTTTTTTAAGTATCTGATTTCGTAGAGATCATTGTGGTCAAATTACTTCAAACACTTTTTATATTATACCATAACCACATAGAGAAGTTAATGATTTTTTTTCTGTGGTACAAATAACCTTCATCAAGGTCGTAAGTACGGACTACCCCACTCATCATCACGCATTCAGATATGTAAATGTTTTTCTTTGTTTAATATTGATATTATACTTATAATACAGTAAAACCTGTATATAACCTGTATATAGTCGTGGGACCAAAATAATTTTTCGTATTGATAGTATTAATGTTTTTTTAACTTTGAGTTGTTAATTTCCAGCTTATGATGAATAAATAATTCGCTCACATGTGAAAACTCTTATTAACCTTTAACATAACCTTATTAACATAATCTTTATTCAAATATAACATCTTCAGACAAATAAGCTGTTCAAGAGCTTTTGAATAATTATCAAACATCTTAATTTCAGAATTTCCTGGTTGGTCATCAGCTTGTTCCCCATCATCAAATTCCACGGGATTTAATTCAGGGCGAATGTTATCTAAAATCATTCATATAATATTACATTTGGATTTGAACTAAGATTTTTGTCCGTTATGAAATCACCAGGATAAAATATAAGGGTCCGTATCCGTAATATAATTATCCCGTTATAGACAGGTTGAAATACTTTGGAATACATATTTTTCCTCGAACTTGGTAATTTTGTCCGTTGAAAATGATGTCCGTGAAGTCAGGTTTCACTATATCAGGATTATACTCTTTCATGTGGAAATTATGACAAAAAAAACTGTATAATTTCGTAATTTTGTTTTGAAGTTCTACTCAGTTCTCGTCAACACTCACACGACCACATAATAATGCTTACTCATATAATTTATATGATACATGTGGTGATTAAGGGGCCAATTTTCAGTGATTAAAATTATACATCATATCAAGAATTTGCCTATGATCTAGCGTGTGACCAATACGGATGCTATAGCACTTGATCATTACGCATATACCATGTGGTAAAATCTTAGTGAAGAAAAAATTGATTCTTTGCTTGGACGGAGTTGAACAAAATTAATATAATAGTAAAATAAATATAATATCCAATGATCTCAGCAGGGCGGGCGAGAACTTCTAAGGGCCCCGGGGCTGCGGGGATTCCAGGCCCCCTTTTTTTTGCAATTGTTTGACCAAGACGCACCAAAACCACTTGTATATGCTTTGGTACAACAAAAACATTGTATACAAGGCCGAACCAATGGGCCTTCTCGAACGTACGGATCCCGGGGCTCTAGCCCTCCCTTCCACACAGGCACGTATCCAGGATCAATTTTCGGGGGGGGGAGTAAAATATATGAACTAAAAATACATATTACATAATATATAGGTATAATATATAAGTACATCATTTGTCATTTTCTAAAACAGATAACGTGTAATAACTAGAGGGAAATTTACAAATACTTAAAATAAACTGTAGTTGTACAATTATACACGTATACATAAAGACGTGTTTCGTGTTAGTGTTTGTTATATTATAAATATATACCTACTTTAAAAATTTCGGGGGGGTTTGAACCCCTAAACCCCTCCCCCTGTACACGGGCCTGCTTCCACACCCTCTCGCCGACCCTGGATCTCAATAAAAAGGAAGTCAATGTTGATTTTAAATAGAGATAAATAGAAATTAAGTCATACAATTAAGAACGAATCTAACAAAGAAAGAGAAACACGGTATTTATTTACAAAATTGTACGTAAATTTTGATATTTCCTATAAAAACTCAACACTGCTTTGTGTAGAAATACCTATGTAAGGTGAATTTTATAGTACAACACAAAAAATAACGAAACAAAGTGGTAACGAAATTATTTTTACAATAATATTTTCGGACATCATGATCAAAATTAAAAATATTTATTAAATTTAAAAATTAATAAATTATTAAAGTATTTTATCTAAATTACGTTTCACGAAATAATTAAATTCGCACTAGATTTTTGCGTTACACTGCCACAAACAGTTGAAGGGGTTAAATCAAGTAAGCATTAAAACTGAATATTTAATAACAATATACTTTGAAAATTATCAGAACATTTGCAAATTATAGTCGATTATTTATTCATATTTTAGTACAATTAAAAAGAATCCTAAATAAAATCGATTTGAGAACTATTATAAAATTCCACGTAGATGCACCAAAGCAATCATAAATGTATAAGAAAAAAATGTGGAAATAAACGTCACGATATTCTTGAAGCGATAGCGGTGTTGCTCGAGTTAAAAACTTAAACACCGGTCTAGACGATCAACTGTACATTATTTTCATAAACGTAATTTATCTTTACGCTAACGAGTCCAAAATAGATCTGAAAATTCGTTATGAAAATCATACACATCAACATGTACAACACTCGAACAAATAAGACGATTTAAGTAAGAACGTCTTAACGTTATTTTTTTTTTTCTATCTTCTTCGGTGCCGCTGCAATCATTGACGCAACCATACTAATTTGGGCTCGAGTGAAAATAAAATGAATGCCCCCCCCTCGCTTCTGGACTCTGCAGGGAAACCGTACCTATAATCAATTGCAACCAAACTACTTCGTTTATAGCGGCCGCAAAAGAAACGTTGATGCACGATAATTTATACAAAACGAAATAGATCGATTATTGTTCGATCTCCATTGATTATTAGTGCAAAACGGTTTTATTTTCTCGCTTTTTACATATTTTTCAAATATTATCATCGGACCCTACTACAGCCAAGCTTAACGCACTCGGTTATTGCGGCAATGGTTGCAACGTGTCGACGCCGGTCTTCTTAGCGATTCAACGTTTTCGAAATCGAAAAATACTTGGCGGCCAGCCTTGTAAGACTGTACGTTCGGGTGTTATTTATTTTTCATTTTTTCCTTTTTTTTTTTTCACGCTTCCCAGCGTAAAATACCGTGCCGATGCCAAGTTGTCGGTCGTGCTCGGGCACTACCGCTGCGGTCACGCGCGGCCGAGTCGCACCCGAAACCCGTTTCGGCCCTCGATTCCGGTAGAGTCCGACCGAACCGCGTGAGCGTGTATTATGTCCGGAACAAGCGCACGCGGCTTCGCTAGGGAAAATCGGCGTCTCAACCCAGTACCTTCCCAGTACCTACTCGTATCGAATTGTGTTTAGCCAAAAATTAAGATTCCACAAACCGTTTTTTGTTTTGTTTGAAAGTAGCGGTTTACTTGTCTGCAAACGTATCGATCTAATCAACCGTTAACTTAACGTAAACAAATGCAACGAATTCAGAATTAAGTCTATTTCGGTATTGGTTGTGTAAAAAAAAAGATATTTTATGCGGTGCAAGGCAAGACTTTAGTTTGTCCTGGTGTGAATAGACGTTCGAACCGGAGTGTCGGCTGGACCGACGGTCGTACTCGGCTCGGTCCGTTTCCGCACCGACCGACCGCGCGCGGACTGTATCGGAAACGGAACGGGAGGATCAGGGGCGGATCCAGAGTCGGGGAACTGTGGGTCAAGCCATTTCAAGAGGCCATTTATTAGGGATGAAACTGAATTAGAAATTAATACCTTGTAGAAAAAAAAAACACGACATGCTCATAAAAGTGTATATGTCGTATTATTACATACGTATAAATTATATGTATGTGTAATATTGTATGTCGTATAATGTAATTATACCACCGATAACGACTTGTTTACGGTTAATAAATATAATCTAATTTTATCAGCGCAACAAACGTACGGAATAAAATATGATTTACTTAACTTTCTACTAAAACGATACGATTAAAAATATAAATTATGAATTGAAAAATTTTAAATTTTGAATATATATGGCATTCATTTTTCAAGTAACTCCTATGGGCCAACTGTCCAAGAGTCCAAATCAAGGTCTAAAAAGAGAAAAAAATTTCCAAGAGGCCAATTTTGTCAACAAATATTAACTGTGGATCAGCTGACCTCCTGAACTCTCCCTTAGATCCGCCCCTGGGGAGGATCGCAAACGGTGGTTAAAATAATTGTACGCCGCCTGATCGATGGAGCTGCGCACGTCGATATGACGAGATCGCGACCGAATACAACAGAGATGATTATATCGTATCAAGACGTCGACCGTACTGTTCGTTGATGGGCAAAAAAAAATATTACCGAAACGTTGAAATTAAATGTTTTCGCATCGCGTATTTTTTCGCGCCGGTGTTGAGCGCACGACGTACAACTATAATTCGCGCGATTCGAGCTCTGCGTTCGGCATCTGTAGGATTAAACCTATTATAAATTAATTACTGATATGAATTTAAAAGTGATGATGAATCATCGTCGGATCCGAACGAAGGTCGGAGTACACGATGATGAATAAATAATTTATGCGTTTTTAGTGTTTTGTTCTAAATGTGGTGTAGTTATTCGATACAATTTCAAATACAAACCAGTAAGTGATAAAATTAACTGTTTTCTAACGATTAATGTACAATCATACTTATGGAGTTTTAACCTAATATCAGTATTTAACAAGGTTAAAAATATCAAATTAATTGTTAACAATTACAAAAATTACACCCTCTATAAATTTACGCCCGGGGATGAATCCTCGTCTTCCACACCACCTAGTTTCGCCTCTGAACTGAAGGTGTATGTATTCAAGTAGGTCGGAACATGAGATCTCGACTACGCACTACTAGTTTGTGTAACAGTTAAGACGTTATACAGAAAATAAGCTATATACGTGGCGTAAACAGAAAATATTTTCGGGAAGGGCTACTACGGACAGAGTTAAATTACCACTGCCATCTATGAATTACTAACAAGACACAGAAGTACTTATCTACATTTCATTACAGAATGTCCCAAAACGATTTGACGTTGGACGCAAATTCTAAACAAGTATAAAGCACCATTTAAATATAACACACCGTTTAAAATAATTTTTAAGTTTTTTTAAAACACTTCGGGAGGGCTGTAATCCACTATCCCCCCCCCCCCCCCATATATACGCCACTGAGTTAACGGACTACTGTAATCGAAATGTCCCTTACCGACGATTTGATGTGCGCGTTGTTTCAATCAAAATTGACAAAATCAAGCGCCATCAGTTCCGTTCATGCCATACCTGAGACTGATCGAGCATTTAGTTTTCCATATCAATCCTTGATCATACACTTGACAGTAAAAGGATTAAGTTTCGACAAAAACAGCTTCAGAATTGTGTTATGATCGAGACCACAGTATATTTATACATATTATATATTTTAGTCCTTGCCGATGTTTTTCCATGATCATAAACGTTATCAAAGACTACTGCTACAGAATAAATATTATTATATATTTTTATATATATTATTTTATATTTTTAAACATGTTATTCTGTGTTACTGCTCTGGAATTATGGACTTAAATTTTAGTCCATGTCCGTAATTTTGTTATCTATGGAGCTCGTTATCATTTACGCTTATCACTATTGTGGATAAGAAGATCCGCAATCACTGTTTACAAGATCGCACGTTTTTCATTTAAAAATTTTAAATGAAATATGTAACCATTTAACTATCGGTAGTTCATTGTTTTATTAATATGTTTTTAATTTCAATCTTTTTTAAAAATAAAACAAAATAACTTTAGGTACATATTTTAATACAGTTTTTTTTTCATATGATCAGTATAGGTACAGGAAAGGAAAAATGGTAGAAGTACTCCGCGACAAAGAGTTTTTGGTCAGAGAGTACCTGGAGACTCGTGGACTCTACAGCCATCATATAAATTCATTTAACGCATTCATCGACTGTGAATTAAAGAAAATCGTACAGCAAAATCATGCTGTGCGTAGTGATGCCGATCCAAACTTTTATTTACATTTTAAAAATGTTACTGTTGGCCATCCTCAGGTATGTTATTAAACAAAATTGTTTTTAAATTATAATCGTTAATTTTTTGAGATTCATAACAAGAATATACTTCAATGATAATATTAACTATATAGGTACTTTACAAAAATAATAATTTATGATAAGACTAGGTATCTTGTTGATTTCTTCTAATAAGTAAAATATAATATAATATAAAAATAAAATAATTATATTATTATTATTTAATATAATTATCAGACACATTATTTATTTTAAAAACTTTTATCTATTATTTTTTTGTTCTTAGAAAAAACTTTGTAAATTGTAAAATTTTTAAAATTGTCCTCGTTTTCTATTTATTTAGTATATTTTTATTTTAAAGACATATGTAATGTCCAGTTTAAGTGAATAGATCAACAATAAAACAAATCTTAAACAACCTCTGTTATTATAATATTGATTATATTATATATACATATTTTATTATTTTGTTCAGCAGAAAACTTTTAAATATATTCTTATGGTATTTATTTTTCATACTCCAATTTTAAAATAAGTTTCAATACAAAAATACAATTTTTAATAAAATTATGTATTTAATTTATCCTAGGACATATATACTGATTGCATATCTATATATATATGTGTGTATGTGTAGTTTTAACATGGTATATTTTTTAATTTTAATTGGTGTATACTTAAATAAGCAGTATGAGGTATATGTCTTACCAATATCTTTTGTCTATTATTATAAATTTTTTAGTATATTTTGCTTTTTGTATTTTATATAATAACTAATAAAGTAAGTTAATAATTATTATGATTGATTATGATATGCTAAATGAAGGTATAAATTTGTATTATTTTCTTACAGTTTTAAAACATTTCAATAGATTGTTTAGGTTATTCATAATATTTTGTACACTTGGTACTTTAACGCACAAGGCTTATTCATTGTTTGCCTTCTACACAGCATTGTTGATGTATTATAAATATATTATTAATCAACATTAGATTACATTAATTTATTTTAATATTTCATAACAATAAAATATTGTTATTATTTTATTTGTAATTTAAGTATTTAGATTAAATACATTTTAGCTTCCTATTTTTATATTATTGTATAAGATTTTAAATGGAGCTTATATTATTTGAACAAGTTCTATACAAGCTTTATAGTTTATTAATAAAAAATTTTAAAGATAATTGGTAATACTTAAATTATTATGATAATCATAACCTTAATCATGAGTTACCTGTATATATGATGAAAAATATTAATAAAATATATATTTAGTACTATGTTTAAATAAAATGTAATATTAATTGCTAAACAAATACATTATTAATCATTAGGAATCAAATTAAATCATTATTTAATCATTAATAAATGAAATGAATAATTAATGAAATTTAATTTTTCAGGTAGATGATGGATTTAATGTTACTCGAAATGTTACACCACAAGAATGCCGTTTACGTGATCTTACTTATTGCGCTCCTATTTATGTTGATATTGAGTATGTTAAAAGTGGCATGAAATATTTACGAAAAGGATTTATTATTGGTCGGTTACCAATTATGTTAAGAAGTAATCGTTGCTGTCTCTACCAAAAATCTGATGCTGAGTTAGCAAAAATGAAAGAATGTATTTATGATTCTGGTGGTTATTTTATTGTAAAAGGAACAGAAAAAGTAATATTGATGCAGGAACAACCAGCTAAAAATAAAATATTGGTTGAAAAAGATTCTAATGGAGTGCCTACTGTTCAAGTAATGAGTAGTACTGTTGATAAAAAGTCTAAAACTAATATTATTTTTAAAAAAAATTTGATATATGTTTGCCACAATGCTCTTGAAGAGAATATACCATTTGTTGTTTTTATGAAAGCACTTGGTGTCTGTTCAGATCAGTTAATTCTACAAATGGTGGGTACAGAGTTTGCTATTATGAATCAAATGTACCCATGTTTCCTGGAATGTAGCAAGTTAAACATTTTCACTCAAAAACAAGCTCTTAGATTTATCGGAGATCGTATTAAAAAAATGGGATTTTCTTCTGAAGACTATGATAATAGAGTTATTACTGAAGTACATGACTTTTTATCTACTGTTATACTGGCTCATATTCCAGTGACAAATACCAATTATCATATGAAAGCTATATATACTTCAGTAATGGTTAGACGGTTAATTTTTTCGCTATCCAATCCAGATTTATTTGATAGTAAAGATTATTATGGTAATAAGTGTTTAGATTTACCTGGATCATTTTTATCTCTACTCTTTGATGATACTTTCAAACGTTTTATATTTGAACTCAAATCTGTAGCTGATAAAAATATACCTAAGGTCAAAGCCACTCCATTTGATATTATCAAGTACATTAGAACTGATACAATTACTAATGCATTAGTATTTGCTATACAAACTGGTAATTGGTCGATAAAAAGATTTCGCATGGAAAGACATGGTGTTACTCAAGTCTTAACAAGATTATCATATTTATCAGCCATAGGTATGATGACAAGAGTAAATTCACAATTTGAAAAAAGTAGAAAAGTATCAGGACCTCGTTCGTTGCAGCCTTCACAGTTTGGAATGTTGTGCCCTTCTGATACTCCTGAAGGAGAAGCTTGTGGACTCATAAAAAATATATCACTTTTAGCTCATGTTACTACTGAATCTGAAGATGACGATGCTGTATTAAAGTTAGCTCTCAATTTAGGAGTAGAACCTGTGGGTTTATTTTCTGTAGAAGAACTACATGAAGAATACATGTACTTAATAATATTTAATGGTAATATTATTGGTTCCACTAATAAGTGTATTGAATTTGTTAATAAATTTAGAATTTGTAGACGTAAAGGTATGTTTAGTAAGTTTATTTCTATTTATATATCAGAACGGCACAAATGTATTTACATCAACTCTGGTGATGGTAGATTGTGTAGACCATATATAGTTGTAGAAAATGGTCAGCCTTTATTGACTAATGCTCATATTGATAATTTAAAAAGAGGCTATTGTACATTTCAAGACTTTATAGATGAATCTCTTATTGAATTTATTGATGTGGATGAAGAAAATAATTCTTTGATTGCTTATTGCGAAGAAAAGATTGTTCCTGAAACCACTCATATGGAAATAGCACCTTTCAGTATATTGGGTATATGTGCCAGTGTTATACCTTATCCTCATCATAATCAATCACCCCGTAACACTTACCAATGTGCAATGGGCAAACAAGCTATAGGTACTATAGCTTTAAATTATTTACATCGAATTGATACACTTCAGTACAATTTATGGTACACACATATTCCAATGGTTCATTCGAAAGCAGTACCAATGATCAATTTTGATAAATTGCCTGCTGGTCAAAATGCCACTATTGCTGTCATGAGTTATTCAGGCTATGATATTGAGGATGCTATCATATTGAATAAAGCGAGTGTTGATAGAGGTTTTGGTAGAGGCGGAACATTTAGAAATTCAAAATGCTTTTTAAGACATTATCCTAATCAAATGATGGACTCTATACAAGGACCTATTATTGACAATGCGACGAAAAAACCAATTTATAAACATAGAGCATTAGATAATGATGGTATAGCAGCTATTGGCCAACCAGTATTTGATAAACAAGTCACAATTAATAAAGCAACGCCAAAAACCGTTACAGTAGAAGATGTTGGTGGTGATAGAGGTTTCAAAGAGACACCAATGTATTATAAAGGCTACGATCCATCATATGTTGATAAAGTAATGATAACATCTAATAGTGATTGTTTTTTGATTAAAGAAAACTTTAGACAACCAAGACGACCAGAAATTGGTGATAAATTTAGTAGCAGACACGGTCAAAAAGGAGTTGTTGGTTTAATTGTGAATCAAGAAGATATGCCTTTTAACGAAGTTGGAATATGTCCAGATTTGATAATGAACCCTCATGGTTTTCCATCACGTATGACAGTAGGTAAACTTATTGAACTTTTGGCCGGTAAAGCTGGATTATTAGAGGGAAAATTCCAGGATGGTAGTGCTTTTGGCGGAGCGACAGTTGCTGATATAAGTGATGAGTTGCATAAACATAATTATAATTATTTGGGTAAAGATGTGCTGTACTGTGGCATTGATGGTAGACCAATGGAGGCATACATTTACTCTGGTCCAGTTTTCTATCAACGTCTAAAACATATGGTAGCCGATAAGATTCATGCACGATCCAGAGGACCAAGAGTACTATTGACCAGACAACCAACTGAGGGCAGATCTAAAGACGGTGGACTTCGAATGGGTGAAATGGAAAGAGATTGTCTTATTGCTTATGGTGCTAGTATGTTGATTATTGAGAGATTAATGTTGAGCAGTGATGTGGTAGAAATGGACGTATGCAAATTATGTGGTTTATTTTCGTATTCGGGATGGTGTCACATGTGTCAAAAAAGTAATTCAGTGTGCCGTATAAAAATGCCATATGCATGTAAATTGTTGTTCCAAGAATTACAAGCTATGAGTATAGTACCTAAGATATCATTAAAGAAATATTGTGACTGAAACAATTTTTGTTATTAAATTAAGAATTTTAAGTTTACACTAAACATTATACCATATTTTTAAATAATTTTACTTTATTTTTTCTTACAATAAAATTTCTTATGAATTGTTTCAATAAGTAATAATGAATTTTATAAAATTTGTTTAATATATTTTTTGAATTTGAGGTATATGCATAAAATTCATAATCTAGTTACTAAAATGTGATAATATATTAATAAAAGTTTTAAATGTTTTAATTCCCATATTTTATATTTTTAAAAAGTATGCATGGAATTAGATTATTAATATTAATTGTATAAGGATTAGGTTCACAATTAGTTTTTTTATTTAATAACTACTAGTACATAATTATCAATTACTAATAGATAAAAAACTAACAGTTTCTACCTAATTTTTTAACTATTCGTTGGTAAATATTAATTGTTTTCAAAATTAAAAACTTGATCTTAATGTTAGGTTTTGACTTCATAACTTAATTTAAGAATGATTGTGTGTTATATGATATTTTGATGTAAGCATACAATTTTAATTCATAATTATTTTATTGACTAAACAGTGTTATGTACTACAAATTTGTAAGTAACTCTACTAAAAAAATGAAATTACGAATATAACAACAATACTTCTGATGGAAAATATGAAATATTTTTTTAAGACAGTAAACTTGATAATAACTGATAGTAATATGACATCTCTACGACACAAAAAATAAAATAATTCACTTGCTGTATAAATTAATTACGAGTAAAATTAATTTTATTTTCATCTGGTTTATGTTAATTTCTGGTGTTATTATTTACATTAAGTACCTATAACCATTTATTATAAAATAGTTTTATAGTTTTACTATTCTGTTATAAATATTACAACCTATTCAAGTTTGTAACTACAAATTAAGAAGATACCTACATAAAATAATAATATAGACATCTATCTACCTAAATTATAAATATATTTTTCATAAAACAATGAGGTAGTGTCTTGGTGTTATTATGTCTAAAGCGGTTACAATTAGGGACGTGGTATCGTGGTATTTCAATTCTAAGCTATGAATACAAAAAAAAATGTATACTTTTTGTACTACAAAATAATTTGCAAATATTTGTGATTTTGACGAATTTTGTCGATATTTAAATTGTGCTTATGTATTTTGATAATTTTCGAATCACTTATAAATTAACTTCTATAAAACCATCTATTAAATTTTCAAGTATTTTGACTCAGATAAAATTTTTATATCGACATTTATAAAAAAGTCAAATATTCCGAATGCCTATATAGCTAAAAAATTAACGAAATATTTTGAAAAAAATTATGTGCACTTTAAAAAACTGTGGAAGTTTCACTACAAACTTTCTACGAACTTATACTTTTTGAATAAAAGCCAATATCAAAAATCGCTTGAGGTTTAATCGTTGTTTGTTTTATGTGATTTCGTAAATGTTTAAATTTCAAAGGCTTATCTGTAGTGGATTGGATGCAATGCAAGTGTAAATCGATCCATGTTTAAGTCAATTGTATGACAATAACCAGATGGTCAATCCGACTACGTCGTATCGATGCCTTGAGCGTGTATGTCCGATTCTTTTATACCTACGTGTTAAAATCGGAAAGTCGGAATCTAAGTTTAGTTGCCTAGTTATCAGTCACTCCGTTTGACATTCGATCGCTATTCGTGCAATTCACCTACGGCGGATAGGATGCAATGCAAGTTCAATATTCGTTTCGTACACAGTAAGCCATCCAACTGCGTCGGATTGTACGAGTAAGAACACAGGACCGTCGCTACGAATTGCGGGGCACCGTACAAAATAATTGAAATAAAATAATACACAACAATTAATATTTAATATATACTGAGTATATATATTATATATGTTATCGTAAAAGATGTAAATTGGGTAATAACAAAAATGCTTATCATCAATGCCTAGGCATTAATGGACAACATAGGGAATGTTGTAAAAATCGAATATTTTGTTGGCACGTTTACAACTATGATTAGGAAATTACCTAATATTATTAATATTTAATACTGATATGTAATATAGATATTTTTGTTTAGCGAAATATTAAAATTAGGTTCGTAATAATTATACATAACTATTTATATTAACAATTTATTGTACTGTTATACCGTGCCAATTTGAATTGCATAAAATATTAATTTTTTTACAAGTTCATCTATTATTTTTGCATCCTGTTTTACAAATACACCTGGTATGTCTTTGTGATTCCGATCACGAGATTCCATAGATACATTAGTATTATACGCAGAAAGAATAACATTTTATTTATAATTATTTAACTAATAAATTTGATTTCAAGTTGTGTGTATTTTTTCTGCACTGGCCATTTACGATACGTAACCTACTTTAAACGTTACCCGGCAAATATATTGCAACTTTATTATAACTGTTGAATGAATGATTACGATAACACTCGACATTGTCTTGCGTAACAGCAGAACGATTTTGCGTCAAGGTATCTCAAGTGTAAACTTATCAATACCATCAACAACATCAACTCATCTCAAGAAAATGGGATTGACTATCAGGTAAACGGATCTACACGACAGTACCGTAACACGTCGTACGGTACGGCAATAATGCGCCGCGAACGGGTAACAACGACGTTTCTGCTCCGTCGAGCAGTGTTCGCGTCCGACGTTCGATCGATAGAGCCTCCGCGCTTGAAACGCATGATATTTATGTGTTTTTCAGTTCCGATCGCCGTAGTGGTCCTGCTCAGGAGACGGACAGGAACGACGAGCGATTGCAGTTGATTACCTTCTGTTTAGTCTGCGGATGGCCACGGTTCCTGGTCTGGTTAACAGAGGATCAAGGTGCGTACGGTCGAGGTTCTATTTGCGCTACGACACCTTTCGATCTCCGTTGGGGTTTTCTTAACGTATCATCTCGCTCGTACTTTTCCCGCTTTAGCCCGTCGGGGTTTCGTGCATCACGGTTGCTGCACAGGACCGGAAGAACCGCGAGACGGCCCTCTGGTTCGCGATGGCGTCGGTGGTCGAACGGCTATCAGTCCCGTATCCTTAACGGAATGCGGTTCGCAAACGGACCCCGTCACCACTGCCGGCACACGAGTGGCCAAACGCGACTTCGCGTGCGGCGACTCCTGCGCAACGTTCGTTGACACGTGCACGCAGACTTACCCGTCCGACGTCATCGAAGTAGTTAGCGAGCAGGCGCATTCTGCGCTGATGTGCGACTCGGTGACGAGTGTCCGCGTGACGGCAGAACAAGTCAGTAAGTTCGGTGACGATGAAGACGAAATCGTCCCCTACGTACTACCGAAAATGGAAGAAAATCGCGCCAAAGTGAGTGCAAAACCACATCACCATTAATTATTTACGGTCATGTTCAACGCGAACGGTGGCCCTTCCGGATTCTGCATATTTTTCACGTACGCGATACGACTCGATTTAGTGCGCAGTGTAGTTATAGAACATCAACATTTACGCTTTTCATTTGTCGGGACTAAAATTTGTTTCCCACAAACGCACACAAGAATATTTGAGTGGATTTGAAAAAAAAAAAAAACGTTATCATTTCATTACCTCGTGCACTTGAAGGCGGCAAAATAATTTGCCGCTGATCGTTTGCAACAGTCGATCACAGTAAAACGATTACTAACAGTGTAACGCCCAGGGCTGGGCAAGATACCTAAAAAAAAATATCTAAATACAAGATACAAGATACTTCGATATTTTTAAAGATACTAGATACGAGATACAGGTAGCTGAAATACATATAAGATACAAGATAATTTATTCATTTACATTAGGTACAGTAAAAAAGAATATAAATTACAAAATTTATTTATTTATTAAATGATTAAATTTAAAAAAAAATGATATGTATTATAGTAAAAAAATTGTATATGTTATATCCCATATTTTAAAATAAATTCCTGGTTACCTTTTAAAGAGACTAATTTCAATTAATAATAATTGTTAGGCTTAGGGACTTCTAGCATTTGCATACTTTTTTAATTATTGTTAAATATGGCAGAGTACGAAATAAATTCGTTTCTCGGTGCCATGATATCAGATCTAAAATTTTAATGTGCATATTTTTGCATATTTGATAGATTTTGCAGGAGAATGCATATTTTAAAATGTTTATGCTTATTTTGCATTTTGACAAATTTTCTAAATTTAAAATTAAAAACTATGGATACATATTTTAACCTATCGAAAGAAAAATATATAAAGAGGACTTAATACTTCCAGTAATATGCTATCTGCAAGCTACCTCTCATATCTCGTTATAATTTTCGTGTAAGTATAAATAATACTATAAACCTGTATAACCCGCTAGATATCGACCGGATATCGATAAAGATAATAGTTGATATAGAATAATAGATTATTTGTTTAGTGTCCAGTTCAGTTGATTGTTATCCAGGGCCGTAGCTAGGGGGTGGCGAGAGGTGCCTACGCCCCAGGCGCAATTCCTGAGAGAACACAAAAATGAAAATCTTGCATTTAATGTTAAAAATTACAACGGCCAATGTCGTATATTTTGTTTACAAAATCTTTAACAGCCTTCATATTATAATCAAAATAGTTATCGAAAATAATATCTAATAAGCGTAATATTTTCAAATTGAAAATACTTAAGGGCGCATTTTGAAGTTTCGCCCCAGGCGCAATGTTTGGTTGCTACGGAATTGTTATTATTCGTCGTTGTTTTTGCATCTTGCAACCACACAACGTCGACGAATCATACGTAAAACGTCGTACGCGTATATTTCATAATATTGTGTAATGCCGAAAGTACAACAGTCTACGAGTAGCCGACTACAAAGTTTTGTTTCGGAGTTTACATTTACATCCGATGACCATGTTCTATTTTGTGTACTATGTGGTCATTTTTTTATAATGCATATTTTAATGATTTTAGAAGCATATTTGCATGCATATTTGTGTATTTTTTTAGAGCTACAAATCCCTAAGCCTAATAATTAATAAATATTTATAATTATTAATAGTAAATAATTTAAATTTTCAATTTATATTTATTATTTCATCAAAATTTAATATTGTATAGAATGTTCCATGTAAGGATTTTGGAATATTAACAATTACATTATTATCCATGTTTTTAGTAATAGATACTTAAAATCGGAAGACACTACACAAATACCGCGTAGACAGAAAATATGAACCGATCATCGCACATTCACAGTCTAAAATAAATGTTTAGCGCGATAAAATCAAGAAAACATTCTACCGATAAACTGGATTTCTGGATTTATATACTGATTACAAAATTTGCTCATAATGAAGATTATATGCAAATATTGTATATAATGTTCATTTATCAAGTGAATGCCTTTGACGTGAAAAACTTTAATCTAAATTATAAATAATTATTATTACATAACAATAGATTGTATCTAGTCTTTAATCATAAAAATATACTAGATACAAGTTTAAAAAGTATTTAAACCCACGATACCAGATACAATTGTATCTCAGATACGTATCTTAAATACTAGTATCTAAGATACCGCCCAGCCCCGGTAACACCAAACGAACAAATACATACTACACGATACTAATCAACAGGATATTATCTAATATATATATATATATATATATAATTATCTGAATGAACTCTCCAATGTTTACTAATCACGACGTACTATTCCCAGGAATTGAACGTCACCTATAAATTGTGGGAAAATCGGTTTGCACGATTTTCGAAATTCAACGACGGCATCATGGCAGGCCCAGGTATGTTGGACAGACGAACGTCTTTAGTTATAGTATCGACTCCGTTTGTGTTTTCATCATTTTACGATTTTTTACAGCGACCCTTTACTCTGGGCCTCCAGAAGTTTTGGCAAAACTAATGGCTTCCCGGTGTAAATCGCTGGGTACTGTGATAGACCCGTTTTGCGGTTCCGGTGCGATCGCGATCCAACTGGCCATGGTCTGCCGCAAAGGTATACATATTGCTGACAACATGAAAACACAATTATTGTCATATTATTTAACACGTTAATTGTATATTAAATCGTAATGTATACTAACATGGGACTCGTAACGGTTCGCGTTTTTTATGTAGTCATTGCGATGGACAGTGACCCGATCAAAATCGCGTTCGCCCGGAACAATGCTCGTGTGTACGGGGTCGAAGACCGAATCGTCTTCCTGGTGAGTGACTTCTCTGTCGATGCCCGCTCGCTGCAGAGGGCAGACGGCATCGTCACGTCACCACCAGTGAACATGACTAAAGAGGAAATGGTAAAGTATGACCAAATTGGCTAGTAGGGTGGCGCCGAAAGTCTTAATGAGGGTAACGAAGGACCATGAATTGTCAGATGTAAGTCCACAGATCGTGTTATGAGAGCATCAATACCCATAAAATGTTTATTTTTTTTTTTTTCTTCATAGCTGTACCAATCAGAGAATAAAATATTTAATAAAATTAATACAGAACAAATATGTATTGACAGGGAGCCAAATTCAATTTTGACTTTCCTAGGTCCCGGAGTACGTATTTTTTTATATCATTAAACATTTACAATAATTAGGCATAACTATAATCATCGGTCCTTTATCCAATTCACACTTGCACACTTGCAAGTTAATTTTGTATGTTAATAATCTGTTTTAGATGAATACGAATAACAATTATAACAAAAACGTAAATAGAATACAAAAGAAAGTGCTTTTGTTTTCTGATGGCAAGTTGTAAAAAGTGTACGATGTATATAGATAAAATAGTGTTTTTTGGAAGATCTTGATATCAATGATAACATTATTTTTAATTTCCATAGGGGTATCTGTTAATCGTCGTGTGCATTGGATAAGAGGTAATAATCTTTTTGCATACGACGATTATCTCAAAAACGTTGAAGAATTCCTGAAGTGCCAAAATCTCAACTGAGAGACGATTCCTCAACACAACCGTAAGAATATAATACAATTGATATCTGATAGTAAATACTATTTATAGATTATAATCAATTATAAATTGTATAGATAAGGACATATTTCAGATAAGGAACATTTTGAATTTTCATAAATCATTTATAAAAACTAATACATTATAAGCAGTCTTAATTTCATGAAAAAAACGTTCTAAAGATATAAAAGTATTATATTAAATAGATTATTGTTTAACATTTTTAAATTTCCATATGAAATATACAATGAACAATTTTTGTAAGAGCATCATTCGGTAGTTTTATATGTACCCGGTACGAGACCAAGCTTGTAGTCAAAATAATGGCTTAAAATAATTTACTAAAAAATAAAAATATTTAAGAAATTTGTATAAATATATTATATAGGTGTAATAATAGAAAACTATTTTTAAAAAAAATAACGGATACCTCCAAGTACTTCATTTTGTGTCTTATTTTATTTAGCTCCGAGTTCTAAAGGGATAATTCTATCAACCCCTCTGTCTCTTAAAATAGAACAGTTTCAATAAGTGAAGTATGAATATTTTTAGGATTATTCTGTTTTAATTTTGCCAATGACCCGTTTATTGAATATAAATATTAAATTTTCAACGAACACCCGTACCGAGCAACAATTAGATACCACAATAACATCATTATTGTTAAATCCAACTAATAAATAAATTATATTTTATTTCAGATACGTATACCATAAAATATATTTTGAATTAGAATTTTGTATTTATTCTATATCCATTAAGATATTAGAAACATTGTTAGGTTGATAACGGATGTGTTAAAAGAAAATGGAGATCTACAAGTTAACTGTTTGTGTAAAATATTGCAAATGACTGATTCGAAATTATCAAAAGTAACACTTTGAATACTATTAATTAAACATTTTAATAGCTCTCCAAATAACGCGATTTATTATTTCTAGTCTAATATAGCTCGGTCAAAGCGTTTGCGCATCTATTAATACTAGAACGTGATTCGTTTAGAGAAACTTAGTCAACAACGTTAAGACCATTAAAATCCACGATATGACTTATACTTCAACAAATGGATTCATAAAGGTTACTATATAATATTATTCTAAACTGAGTTTCAAATATTGCACAGACTTTTATCGATTATTCAAAACCAATGCGAGTTGATTTGGGGTATCGAGGTATAAAACGATGAAACAACTGAAATCGATGAAACTGAGCCATCGGTTCAAATATTAATATATTTGAGCAGTAATGATGTTTGTGAATTCGTTGAACAGCAAATTAGAGTGGTGAAAATCGGAGTTTGCGACAACAGGATGAATTAATTTCGTCTGTTTTAGTTTCAGATCCAGATCAGTCGATTACAAAGGGATCTCGTTTTAATCATAGACAAAAAACACCGTTCAACTAATGACTTAATTCATTCAAAGTGACTGTTATGATTTACTATATGATTTCGTAGAAGAAACGGATTTGATGCAGCAATAATGTAATAATTACATATAACTATTAACAATATTATGCATATAACATATACACTTATCTTATACGGAGGATGTCGATCGATATTTTCGATCGAAATTTTGACTTATAATTTCGAAATATTGAATCACGATAGAATTATAAATATTAATTCATTTTATCGTGTAAAACTAATTAATAAGATAATTAATAATTAAATAATTAATTTAGAAGTAGTAAACGAATTTTTTTTCTCCAATTTTGTTTCTCATTTTAAATTCCAACATACAATAAATATAATTTAATCTTAATATTTACAAGATATTATTCAACAGTTATCCCTTATTATAATACGTTTAGTGAAAAACGATCAAACTAATTTTGTTTTATCGATAACTCGTGCAGCATTGTTTGAAAACATTCAAATCAGATAAAAAGCTTTTTTTGAAAGCAAACCACTCGTCAAAGATAATGGTATTTTTAGGATAAATATTAATATTTTTGAATTCTTATTATAAAATAAAATTTATATGTTTTAATATTTTATAGATTCAATAAAATACATCAAGATGAAGAAGTTAACGCCAGCTCACCGAACATAAAATACATAATCAACGATATTGAAGATGACTTAAAATATTATATAAATGTTTAATTTCTTAAAATTTTTTTCTATATTTATTTCATTACTTTAATAACATTTTACATTTTGTTTACATAATATTTATATTTTTTTTCTTGCAATATATAATATTATTTTATTATTGTATATTTCTATTTATTGATTTCTCATTTATATCGTCGCATACATGATAAAATGTATAATTAATAATGTAGGTAACATATTTAAGATTAAAAAAAACTGATATAATGATGAATTTACAAAACTATAAAATATAATAACTAAAATGGGTGTAATTTTATTTTTACATGGAAGAAAATTCATATAATATTCAAGACAAAGTGCAACTGTAGCTGCATTATTATTTTGATTTTTAAGATTGTATTATTAGTCGTATTATTATTGAATTAACCGTCTAGAATAAATTGCGAACAGTTTTGAAGAGATTGAGCACAAACGAAGGACTGTTGTTTGGATTCGATATTCAGTGTTCGCAATTAGCATGTCCCCAGCACCGCCTGGAGTAAATCGCGAATAACTTTTGAAGGGATTGAGCGCAAACGAATGCCTCGGGTTTGAATTTAAAATTTTAAACGGGCGGTGCCGAAGACATGGACCTTATATCATCTATATCAGGGGTCGGCAACCTTTTGAACTACGCGGGCCATATTTTTTTTTAAAAGTTTATCAAGGGCCACATTAAAAATTTTTTTTTTACATATGATATATACTAATAATTGTATTGCTATTATATTTGATTATTTTACATAGAAATATGAGTGTAAAAAATACAAATGGTACTGGAAAAAATTGCTTTTAAGAAGAAATTAAATTTTTTGACAAATTAAACATAATGGCTTACCTTTAATTTCGACGAAAAATTATAAATCAACCCAAGAATTATTAAATAAAACGATGTTCATCACAAATTTTTCTTTTTTTAATCGCCATGTTTGGATTTACTTGTAAAATGAAACTATTACAAACGCAGTCACACGTACGGGCGTAATACTAATTGCTACAAACGCAAAGTAACTATAACCATAGATTAAATATATTAGATACATATGTATTAAATACATAGATTAAACATACTTAAAATTTAAATTTAAAATATATATAAGTGTATTTAATTTATCCTATGACTGAGTAGTGCAGCCATCATTATCTCCGACTCCGATTAGATAATAATAATAACAATTCCATAGATTAAACTGACTAACTATGTATATAGAATAAACATAAACTATTAGATTTTAGATTAGATTTTATTTATAAAGAAAAAATAATTGAATAGTATTGAAAATTGTAAAATTTTATTGAACAAAAATAAAACACAAAAATTGACCACCTTTGTGCGGGCCACGGGTTGCCGACCCCTGACCTATCGCGTATTTTTTATGGAAAATGAATCCAGCACGTTATATTCCGAATAGTTAATTATGTTGGCCGTGTTTCTTACGGAGAATAACTCATAGTTTGATGCGTTCCTGCGGTAGTTGTGGCTTTGAGTGCTATACGTACATAAATTCAGAAATTATGTTTGTTGAATCAATTTCACCTATATAAATTACCCTATTTACTCAAAATTATGTCAGCTTCATTGAATAATTATAAAAAAATTTTGCGAGCAGCTTGGCCAGAACTGGGCCCCCGCATTGATTTACTAAAAATTACTATAATTTAGTATTTAAAACATAACTGAGCTTGTCTTTACGCAGTCAATTAAACCAAGAGTCGTTATCATTTTGTAATTATAAAAAAAAACAAAATTGTATATTGTATATATATATAAGGGTATACAATCGTAAATTACGTTTAATTTATACATTTACATATTCAAAATAGGTTTCATTTTCATGAATGTGCAATCTATATAGACATTAATATAAAATATTAAGAAAGGTTTTCTGTTATCTATCACAAATAAACAAATAATAGTAGGAAGGTTTTTATATTTTGCCCCTCCCCCTTCATGAAAAATAATTCCTGCGCCACTGGTAAGTACTATACAAACTTGCAAATTAATAGTGAATAGTGAAAAAACTTACAAAATAGTGAATTATACAGTTTATTATGAAAATATGAATGGTACCAAATATGAGTTGACCACATGGTTTATACTTTACTTTAAACTTTAGTATTAGTTTTTGTAATTAAATTAATGTTAGAAAAATGTGTACATTATTTAAATTATTTACAAAATTAGATATTAATAATCAGGATTGTGAATTTAATGCATTTGCAGGTTTTTGCTACACTGTATAATAAAATGGATTCAGCCAAAATTTGTTTTCGACTTATTTATAGTTCAAATACCAAATCTTATTTTGCATATTTATATTTATTTTATATTTATAATACATAGTTCAGTAATTTGTTATCCAATGCATCTAATACAATTTGTTATCTAATACAAACCAATTGAAGCTTAGGATATAAATAAGATATCTTCTTGATAATCAAAATAATACTATAACGAAAAATCTTATTTTGCACTGAGTATTGGAGTGACTTAGCCACCATTGTATGGTCTTGATGGCCGCGACCTCACACCCTTCTTGCTCACATATGAAAAAAAAAATACACTGTACCAACTTGTGTTTATTATCCAATGCATTTATGTATGCTTCTATGTGGTGTAACGTCAATTCACAAACAACAAGCGCTGCGCAATATCTTAAAATGTATCTGAAATATAAAGAAAAAATAAATATGAAAATCATATAGTAACACAGTTTACTCTTTAAATACATAGAGGAGAACGCCCCAATTCACTCATTAACGCTCAGACCAAACAGCTGGATCTAAAGCAGTGGTTCTCAACGGGGGCGATATCGCACCTCAGTGGGCGGTGAAGTATCACTTGGGCATTGAACTATTTTTGGGAGGTAGGAGGGCGGCAAGCGTGTTCACGCAAAAACGTTGTACATATGGTGTGACCTAAAAATAATTCATACTTGATAATCCATATAAAAACTATTAGTTACTAATAGGTACTATATGTTGAGCAATGCACAATAACATATCTTTCATTGTTGATACATTTATTATCTTTATTATTTTAGCGATTATGCATGGACATTGTATGTTATTACATATGTAATTATTATGTAATTATAGGTAGGTACCTATTTAACCAACCTTTTAGCAAACCGTATGATTTGACCCGCGCATGTTGTATTAGTTTTCGTTATTATACTCGTAATATTCAGTCTGTTAAAAACGTGTTTTTTTAAAAAAAAATTACTACAAAAATACATGGGTAAATATCTACAAAAACAATAAAAGCAATATTTTTTCTAAATAAACTAAAAAATGTATTTATTATTATAAAATAAAATTGATAAATTATTAAGTTTTTTCAAATGTTTAATTTGATTAATTTACTAGTACTATAACTAAAAAAATATGAAAAATATAACATAAATGAAAACATTAGTTATGAGATAATTATTCAAATTTTCCAAATCATTAACTTCTTTCCCCATCTCTCAGCCCATAACATTCATTATAGAATTTTCACACAGGGGGGCGTTAAAGAATTGATTCCTTCTCAAGGGGGCGGTAACATAAAAACGGTTGAGAAATACTGGTCTAGAGACTGTAATTGCACATTTAATTGTTTTATTTTTGCGTAGTAAATATGCATCGCGCGGAATAAGTGATGGTACCTGTAATACATTTTCTATAATTTTTTAATTATATAGAAGTGTTGCCCTGGTGACAGCAGTAACCACTCAGGGAGAACTCAACATTGTGTTGAAAATTAATAAATAAATATAAGAAATAAAAAAATATGAATAAAAGCTTAAGTGGACAGTATAATGCAATAATAATAATAATAATAATAGTAATAAAAATAATGTATTAGGTTGCCTGGTTGACACAACTATAGATAAATAAATCAATTTAATATGTGTACAAATAATAAAATAAATAATTACAGTATATAAAAATATAACCAACAATATTCAAATGGTATATTAAAAAAATATATAATAAATGTATAAATGATATGCAAAGGTAAAACAAATTATGAATAAACGATATGGAACGATAATAATATGGATTAAATGTAAATGATAAATAATTTTCCTATGGTGGATATTAATAACTATAAATAAAGGTTGGCCCTACAGTGGCATAACTAGAATATAATAATGTAATAAATAATAACAAGGGCTCGGAATTATATGCATTAAAAACATATGAAATATGCATGCATTTATGCGATGGTTATCATTTAAATATGCACTCAAAATGTTCGAAAATATGCAAACAAAAATACATGTTTATTATTTATTAAATTTATTTAATTTTAAAATGTATACAATTCATTAATTAATTAATATTCAACAAAAAATATACTTTAAAATATATCAACTGTATTTAAATATTTTATTGAACTGTACGTTGTATTGAAATTAAATTTTAGTTTGAACACTCACTCATCTAAACAAAAATTCACAAACGAAAACAAATCAAGCAGATTTTTATAATATTCTTAGTTACCCGGAGAGTTACTATCGTATTGGTACTTTTAGCAAACTTTATCTTATTATAATACAAAAATCAAATTATATAACTGCACGATTCACGGATTTTAAGATGCGGACATGCGCTAGGTAATAAATAATAATATTAACAACTTCGTAATATTTTTTTCTATATTTGCATTATATTTCAGAAAAATGCTAAAATATGCATAATAATTTGAAATGTTCCGAATATGCAAAAGTATACCAAATTTAATTTCGCATACCAACACGTTAGGTTAAAATTCAAATTTCTGTCTTATCTAGATACTTTTTAGTTTTATATATAAAAATATGCAAATGCATACAATTCCGGGCCCTAATAATAACAATATGTGGCCCAACACGGTACACAATAAATATGTAAGTAAATCAAAATGTGTGGCCCACGCTAAACAACATAGGAAATAATAATTTGCCTACGACGGCACACCGCAGTGAATGAAAGAAAGAAGTCACAGCGACTGGTACGTGCGATCAGTAAAACACAGTCACCAACGAAAAAACTGCAATGGTCCACAGCCCTGGACGATGATACAACGAACGAAAACCAAGTTGTTCACAAAGCGACCGTTGGTAAAACTGAAAAACAATGAAATTAATCGCTGGACAATATCTGATTGCCTCGAACGATTCCTTACCAAACGGTCGATTCACAAACGAAAATGACGATACTCAACAACGTGGTTTGAACAAAATGACTGCGGACGTACGAAAACTTGACAAAATGAAATTTGATGTGCACACCACGAAGACACGAGCAAGACGGACAGTGCCGACGATATTCACCACGAAGGCTCTGGCCGCCGGACACCACAAAATGAAGATAAATGTCTCAGTGCCACAACATAAACTCAAAAAACACAAGAACTTACGAAACCTTGTGGCACTAAGAACACGACTAATGAAACGTAACCGATAAACTCGGAAAACGTGGAATAACGAACATTTACGCGCGATTACATACCCGGATGGTCGCACACGCCGACGAGGGCTGCGGATACGCAACGCATAAATAGAATTACAAACAACAATATTGACACGAACATTATACTCTACAGATAGCTGAGAAATTTCCGCAAATTATAATATGTTAACGAGTGTGATGGGATTTGAAAGGGCTAAAAAAAAAAATCGAAAACCGTGGGAAACGTCATGTCATACCGACGAACTGATTATTTCGACTCTTAATGCATTTTTAAACCAATGAAAAGTAATTGCGACTAAACCGATGAGTTTAGGGTTAACTATAGAGCTAAAAGCGATCCTCCGAGAATTTTGAGTATAACCTATCAGTTTTCAAAGTCGGAGAACACGTGTTCGGAAAATTGTAAAAGTGAACTATTTTCAATTTTACGTACCTAATAAATAGACATCGCGCGGGATAATTGATTGAGAATGTAATTTAATTTGAATAATATCTGAAAATAATGACCGAAAATGTACACGTACCTTCTCAGATGGATTACAACAACGTAGATTAAAACGCTCGTGTTAACAGCGTCGCTGAGAACAGTTCACCAGTAGAACACGAAATGAACGATTTGTCAACAAATAATAAGCCAAGTCAAATTAATCATTATCGGTTTCAACAGTGTTAATTCATTGTGAAAAAAAAAATGTAAACTTATGCAACTAACTAGTTATCCCGCAGTGCTGATTACCTGCCAAACCCGCTTATCATTAAAAAAATATTTGTTGTAGAAACTTCAAACTTGATACCTGCACTATTATATTACAAATATCCCTGGCTACCATCCCTGCTATCTTCACGGATAACGCTTAAAAATCTCGTTGTCAAGTAACGGACTACTATAATTTTTGATTTGCACTTAAAATTTTATTGTTTTATAATAATTAGGTCTTTAACGTTATTTTTTTTATATTATTTTACAACATGATGTTCAAAAGCCATATTTTAAAATAACTTAAAAATGTGGACACAAAAATATGCTCTTCAGAAGTTAGTAAAAGTAAGAGATTTTATTTGATAACTTTTTTTTTTTTTGTCTGTAAATAACTATCAAATTTAATTGAGACTTGAAAAAGAAATGACACAGTTAGATTCAGAATTCAGTGATATTTCAATACTTGACAATTATTTACATCATGACTGTAAAAAATTAGTCAACTTTTCTAAAGGTAAAACCTTAAATCTAGAAACAAACATTATTATTGTACATGTTTAAAACTTTTTATGGTAGACTTATTTTTTATTAAGTTTAAGTGTTGTAATATTTTAATAAACTCTATCAGTTAAACCACAGTTATAACTATGAATGATTTTATTTTTTAAATCTATTAGTATTTTCTCATGAAAATGAGAAAAGTAGAACAATGAACTCAGTGTATAATACATTGAGTAATAATTCAAATGTCATTGATGAAAATATAAAATATTATAATGAACTGCAGAATGTTAGAGTTGAACATGTTTCTTAAGGAATTATTGGTAAATATTGTAACATATTGTTATAAAATAAACAATTTACATCTGAATTCAAATTAATATTATTTTTTATATCTGTTTAAGAGGGACCTGATCAAAATGTGAAAAGTATAATAGTGAACGCATATCATCAGGTAATAGACCTGATATTATTATTACATAATGTACATTATGTTATGAATCAAATGTCATTGATAAAAATAAAGAATATTATTATGAACTGCAAAGTATTAATGTTGAACAAGCTTTGCATGACAAAATTGGTAAATAATTCTAAAATATTATAATTATTTTTGTATTAATGTTGTATTAATGATTTATTAATATATAATCTAAAATAAAAATAAATTTCATGCTTACATTTTAATTCAAAATAAACAATAATATTATTTTTTAAATTTGTTTATGATGGACCTGATCAAAATGTGTACAGTACAACAGTGAATGCAGTGAATAAGAGATTATATTATGAACCAAATGTCATTGATGAAAATAAAGAATATTATAAATTGCAGAATGTTTAACAAACTGCTTCTGTTAAAAATGCTAGTGTAGCATTTAATGAATCTACTAGCGAACAGTAGCAGAATTTCATCAACCAAAATTAGTAATTTAGATCTTCACTGCTTATATTCAAAACCAATGCCAATAAGCCATGGAAAGAAAAAGAACCTTCTTTAACTATGTGAAAAGAATGTTATGCCAGAAAAGTTTTACATTTTCTTTAAAAGTTTGCCAAGTATTCCGCTTAAAAAAGATAAAGCTTCAGTACCAGGAGTATTTGATTCAGAGGAAGATGAAAATTATTGATTTTATTATTATTATTTATTTAATAGTAGTATATTATTATGTTAAAAGTTTTAAATTACATACAAAATAATATTTGTATTTTCTTAATGTAATATTTATAACAGTTTTGATATTAGTTAATTTAATTTAATTTTTATTTTATTTTAAAAATTTTATGAGATATATTATGACCATAATTATATAAAAATACCTATTAATAATTAAATTTGTTTAATTTTTCATGATGATCACAATAATAATTATGTTTATAATATACAAAAAATTGACACCTTAGCAAAAAAAAATGAATAATTGACTTAATTACATAGTTTTACCATGGAATCAGCCAAGTATGTCCAATGAGAAAAATAATTATTATTATACCAACAATGAATTTTTCCACTCAAAAGGAATAGTTAAAATAATTTTTTTTTCAGCAAAACTCATTAACAGTTAACTTTTTACATACAATATTTTGCCGATAAAAAAACTATGTTGCCTTTAACACTGACCAACAACTAATGTATTTAAGTGTAGTAATACAAGCAGATTTCATTAAAAAAAAATAAAAATAACTTAAATATCTTAAAAATTAAAGATATTGTGGGGTTGAGACCAAAATTTAATTATTTTTAAAACTTAAAAGTTGTTTTGAGAACAATTAACATTTTGCCGTTAGTGATTTTTGGCAAGAAGCCAACGATATAATAAATATTTAATTTATATTTTAACTATTTATAATTATAATTACAATGAAATAGCTAAATGAAAATTATTATTATATAACCGATAATATAAATATTTGATTTAAAAAATATGTTATTCATATTTATCTGTTTTTTACTCATCGTTTTATTAATAAATACTTAATAATTTAGAAATCTTAAAAAAAAAATTATCTTATAATCTGTGATTAAGGTATGCAACTGTACACTATAAGGTTGAATCATATAAAATAATAATAATAATAATAAACTATAATACTACTAGCTCCTGTATGGCTTGACTTAGTGCAATATACTGTGACTCTGTAGTGGAAAGTGATACTCACTTCTGTCTCTGTGAACTCCATGCAACTCATGATCCTGTAAACACTGATCCTGATGTAGAGCTTCTTGTTGTAACACCATCAGCATAGTTTGTTTCTCTATAACCGATTACATTTATATTTATACTATTACTCAGGGCCGTATTCAGTGTAGGGCAAGAGGGCATGGGGCGCAAATTTCAACACTACTTATGTAATATTTTTCACGGAATATGAATAATATATAGTTAAAACAATTTAATTTGATAATGTCATACATAAATTTGCCTCTATAAGTGCAAGAAAATTACCATTTTAATATTGTATTAAATAAATTTAAAATCATCTAACACAATTGTGAAACAAAAACATTTGAAGAAAATTATATGCTTTTTTATAATATAAAAAAAAAATTTATAATGCAGTAAAACACATTTTTAAATATTTAAAGTCCACATCAAATTATAAAAATTTGTATAGTAATGGCAGGTCCGTATTGAGGTCTGATGGTGCCCCTGGTGAATTAATGTATTTTTGGCCCCCTTCCCCTTAATGAAAAGTTGAATTTTTGTACAAAAAATTATTTGAGATATATAAAGCATGTATAAAAACATAGTATACAAACTAATAATTCCAGTATACTTTTTGAGATTTTTCAAGATATTGGCTAACTAAATTATTGGCAAATGTCATATCTGGTCTTATTTTTGACTTAAGTACAATAAACTCCCAACTGCTTTACGAAATTAAACCACCTCCGGCTTTGACGGAAGTAAATGCATTTACTGTACTTGGCCACTCGATTCTTCGAACAGTAACGAGTTGAAATTATTTTGAAATTAAATGTTCCAACAAATTCAAATCAAAATCGAACTACTATAGACTCAAGCAAATCAAAGGTAATCCTGTCACTTGGCGAAAGAATTGACAACAGTTTATTCTCAGGTTTCCTACGAATGGATCTTCACAGGAAAAAATTTTTTGTGTCCGTATATTATGTTGCCTACATTAAGTCCCTTTTTTACACCTATCAAAATGTGATAACATTGATAAAATGATAAAATAATTTTCATTATAATGGTTTTATACATCGCTCAATTTAAATTAAAATAATTAAATACATTAATAGTTAAATAAATTTAATAATACACAATTCGAAAAAAACACAATATCGTAATATAAATTTAAAAATATACAATTCATTGCGAAAATATAATACAAATGTTATAATTAGGTTTAATATTTTGTATTTTTGTTATAAAAGCGTATCTAGTTGTTTAAATTTTAAACCATGGGGACCCATCAACACAGATTTAGTAATTTCCAAATAAAAATATCATATTTTCCTAAATTTGTTGCAAAATCATATTGCACAGTATTCAAAATACAAAATTCGATTATTAATACATTTTACTATTTGGCCCATAATTAGGCCATAACACTCATACTATAAACATTTCAATGTCGTTTCTTCCATAGAATCTTGGACATCATTTAATACCCTTTGAATAGGAACCAATATAGATAGTAGTATAGTAGTGTATAAAATAAAATAAGCTACCTGCCAATTTTGCTTTATCAGCTGTAGTAAACCTTAATTTACCAATTTTATTTTGGTGCCATAATTGAGTATTGCTGTATCTTACAATTAATTCATTGTCCTTCTCGTTCAATAAAGATTAAAATATGGTACTTTGAACTTAGATGTATGGAGAAATATGAGAGTAATAAAAATGTTATCTTTTTTAATTGCTTTTGGCTTTATACGATTCTAATATTCTGTATAAACCCAGCGGATAGTCTTATGGATAGTATATCCAGTGTCTAAAAATTAATCTTGATTATTTTATAATTTTATTTTATCTGTAATAATCCGCAATTATAATTAATATGAAGTTATCGTTTTATCAATGCTATCACATATTAATGGCTGTAAAAAAAGGAGCTAAATGTAGGCAATATTATATACGGACACAACAATTTTTTTCCTGCGAAGATCCATCCGTGGTTTCCTTCGGTGTTATCATTCCGTTCGCAGTTCAAATCCGTGGGGCACTAGATCGCTCTGTTCGTTAACGTTACACGGCCGAATGCACTAGATGGCGGCTGCGGACGGATCGGGTCTGTAACTACACGTAGCCTTAAGCGCGGTGTCTTGAAACGTTTTCATTATTTTACCCAGTGCTAGGACTTGTGGGTGGACGCAAGGGGACGGAGTACCCCAACTAATTTTCAGAAATGTTAGCGTGCCCCTACTATTATTATGTTATAATTATAACGCTTAACAAGTTACGGGGACGCTTTTTTTTTTTTTTTTTAAAGTAAATAGAGTCCTCCTTCTTTAATTTTTCCAAGTCGACACTGCTTGGTCGTTTGAGCGAATACGCTGGATCGAGGAGAAAAGACGGAGACCGAATAAAAAACAACGGCGAAAAATTAACGAACGAAAATAACTAATCAATAGGACGTCGTTTAGTTTTCGCATTAGGTTTCGTTTTAACCGCGTTTCACGTCATTTAAAAATGTAACCGTCGGCCGCGTCTAACCGCCCACAAATTATTCTTATTTTTAAATACAAACACAATCGCATGACTTGCCGCCGTATCGTTTAACGAAGAAACACAACCCTTGCGCGACTGTCTTTGTTATTCCCTTTTATTTCTCCGATTTACCGTTCGATTTGATCCAATCACGTAACATAGCGTTCGCCTACGTCTTCGTTTGAGCATTTAATTTCGTTTGTGTAACGCTGATCGCGCGCGCATCACACGCCACGTTCGTGTTTTAATTATACGAGAATTAAATGTTCAAGAGCTTTTGCATTTGCAGTGAAACGATGACTGAGTTTATAACGACGTTATTTATTTAATTTATTTTTTTTTTGTATGCACAATGTTCGAACCGTCGTTGAACACTCGTTTCGTTGGTGTAAGGAAGAAAAGGATTTAAATAGTTTACAACGCGGTCGTGCAGAACGATCAGTGCCGTACGAGTGTAATAAACGATTGCAAATTGGTTTTTACCACTCACTATAAATTGTATAAGCTTATTAATGGAAAACTACCGAACCCTTGACGCAACACTTAAATGAGTTGTGAACAAACTGACTGTAGGTTATTCATATTGTATAAAATAAGATTATATGTCGAATAGATTGATTGATTTAAAGATTTTTTTAAGATGATAATTTTTTATTGTAAGAAACGTGTTACGATGCATAAAAATGATTAAAAGTTTTGCATTTTTTTATTCTATGCGAATTTCAAATTTACACCTTTTAAACGTGTTATTTTTCAAGATCTTATTTACTGTGCGTATAAAAAATGCAAAATTAATTCATATTTTATATTTTTATTCGAAATTAATTAATTTTACTGGCAATATTATTTCTACTGTACCAGTTTATAACTAACGGTGACCTGAATACCTTTAGTTTTGATCAATTATTTTCCTAATGTACATTTGTACACACTTTATATTAATATGCTGAGCTCCTGTTATTTGAAAATTAAATGACTTATCACCGCTTTCAAGTTTAAAAATACCCAGAAGGATTTTTTCAAATTTTTCCCACGATATTTTATTTTAAATTGTATTATACTCATTTTTAATCTTCTCCGCTCTTTGTACTGACATGAATAATAACGTTTGAAGAAAATAAAAACATTTATAAGTAAGACTATGTATTATAAACGGTGTTGGGAATAGATAACTTAACCATTATCTAGATAAAGATACCAGATAAATTTAATTTATCTAGATAAAAAAAAATAGGTAAGCACCTTTTTTTTTTTATACTTGATATAAACCATGTAGTTACATCGTCAGAAATCTCTTGTTGGTGGAACCACTAGATTAAATACCATATAATATTTAACCTTGTCTATACGAGTATACTACTCAGACTAAGAAAGTTCGGGCCTCTAGGCAACCTTAAATACGACACTGGAATGATGAAATTTGAATCAATTTAAA